TCAATACAGTTTAACTCAGTGAACATTCACTTTCTGGTTTTGTGTCTTCCTCGAACGCAGCTGCAAAGTGCTCTCTCTGTTGAGCAAATGAGAAACTCGTTTCTAGTTGCAGGAGGCTGCGTCCCACTGGGGTTTTGACCCTTAGAGCGTGTTCATAAGGGCCCTGCAGGACAGATGCGTGTATTTTAACCGCAAGGCCCACTGTGCACCCGCGGAGCTGAGGGGCCCTCTGCGATTCGGCATGTTTTCCATTTATTTGGTGAAATAGGTTCCCTTCAACCGAAGTCCTGGAAAGACCTGGGGTGACCTTTGCCAACTGCGGTGTTGCTTGCGAAGGAGGTGGGGAGAAGGAAGGTTCGCTTGGGGTGGGGCTGGGGGGAAAGGATTGCTCCCCGGGGAGGGGCCGCCAGCCGGGGACCCTGGTTTGGGGGTGAAACCTGCCCCGCTGGGGTGGAGAGAGGCTGCAGGCAGCTCTTCGGGTTCCCATCGTGTGGAGCTGGGCAGCCAGTTGTGGGCAGAGGTGGGAGGCGTCCTTGCTGTTATGGGACAGTTTCATTTCGTTTCCTCTTGGGGATACATGGTATCCTGGACACTTGCCTATTTTTTTTTTTAAGAAGATAAAGCTTTATAAAGGGAATTCTTTCTTCCCCTAAGAAATATGTTTTTCTAGAAGTTGGTCCTAAACCCATTTGGGGGGGGGGGATCAGTTTCTTGGGAGGTGTAGCCGCAAGCTGAGACCCTGCAAGCTCCTCGCTGCTTATTGTCACTCGGGTTCTGACACCTAAACACTGCGGGTCCCCTCGGGTAGCGTTTCCCCGTCACACACAGAACCGGCAGCACGGGACTCGGGCCAGCCTGCCTCTCACGGCATCGGTCCAACGATGAACGCTCAGTTTGGCTAAAATAATGTTTAGGTGATTTATTTGGAGAAACAAATGTGACCGATTTCAGTGGGATTAAATGATCAGATAAGGAGGGTGACGCGCTCCTTAAAGCGAACCTGGAGCCCAAAGGTGGGGTTTGATTCTGGGTCAGGGCGCTCCCCCAGGTTCGGTGCAATCCCAGGGCGGGGGGTGTGGGAGGCAGCCCATCGGAGTTTCTCTTTTACATCAGTGTCTCTCTCTCTCTCCCTCTCTCCCTTTCTCTCTCCAATCAGTTCACCTTAAAGAGCCACCTGTAGTAGTGGTCACATACCAGACAGGACTGGCTCATAGGAATGCAAGGGATACACCCTAAACATGTTTTAAGCAACAGGAATGCAGTCACTAAGTGAACCCTGGGACATGAATAGTGCGCCCTCACTTCCCCTTGTGCTTTGTCACACGTGCCAGTGTTTTAAAATGTACAGAATCGATTCAGAGTGCGGGCAAACGGGTGCACACTCAGGCTAAATGCTCCACTCAATCCCGCTTTCTACGCAAATGGTAGGTCATCGCTGCTGAAATAAGCATGTTCATGCTGCTCCTGTGGACTGAAAATCCAACATACGACTGAGGCAAAAAAAAAAAAAAAAATTGACTTCAGAGAGGAAGGGAGAGAGAGTTAGAAACATCACTGATGAGAGGGAGTCATCGATTGACTGCCTCCTGGGGATCGAGCCCGCCACCCTGCATGTGCCCTGACCGGGAATCAAACCATGGCCTCCTAGAAGCCGCCCCTGCCTCAGTCTGGCAGCCGCTAAGCAGCCCAGTCCCTCCTCCAGCGCAGCTTCCGCGGGAGGAGGGTCCCTGCAAATACCGCCTCGTTGTTGCAGAGGCGTCCCCAAGGTGGGCCCGGGAGAAAGGCAGGACAAGCAACACGTTGCACAGCCTTTAGTCTAACGTGATGGTGTGTCCCCGCCCAGGGGCCCGCAGGCTGGCAGGAGGGAGGTGTGATCTGTGCGTCACGGGGAAATATTACCCACGGGACCCGCAGTGTTTAAGCAACAATAAGCACACGGAGGTGCTGCACGAGGTCTCAGCTTGCGGTTTGCCTGAGACCTCCGGGGGCACAGGCAGAGACCGACCTGGGACCCCGCCCCAGAGCCTGACCCAAGAGCCCCGGGGGCTGGGCGCAGCGGACACGGTTTGGACCATTCTGACAAGGGGCAGCCTGTCCCCGCCTCGGTTTGCGCAGGAGAAGGAGCCCTGCGTGGCCTCAGGCCACGGAGCGTGTTCCTGGCGTTTCCCACGGGTGCCTGGTGGGGTGCGGTGGGCGCTCTGTGGGCTCAGGGTGGAAGGAGGCAGCCGAAGCCTCAGCGCCTGGGACTGGCCGCCAGCCGACTGCTCGGCCCTAAAGACCTGCACACACTGGCCGCCCTTGGGTCCTGGGGGCAGGGGAGGGCAAGGAACGTTGCTAATCGGAGGCGGAAACCGACAGTCAACCAGCCAAGCCCTTCGCCCTCCGTGATGTGGAGACCAGCCCGCAGCTCCCATGGGAGGTCTGCATTGCATAAGCTTTTATTTCAGAGGTGGCGTTGGTTAAGTTTGCAATCGGACCAGTCCCTGGGTGCAGTTCTTTTAAAAAATATTTTTTATTGCCGAAACCGGTTTGGCTCGGTGGATAGAGCGTCGGTCTGCGGACCGAAGGGTCCCAGGTTCGGTTCCGGTCAAGGGCATGTACCTGGGTTG